TACTTGTTAAGACTTAACTAAGACTTATAACTTACCTGACGGTGTTAAGACCTTTACCTACTTCCGGGTTGTGTATACGTTACCTGGACACACACACACACACACACACACACCTCATCCACACCTGCTGGTTCTCTCACCTGTAGGGGGTTGGGGGGATAGGTCACGTTTCTACCTGTCTTCAGCAATTATCTCTCCTTCACTTCTTCCTTTACTCTACCTACCATAACAGACGGATATATCTACCTATTTTTATTTCCTTTTTTATGGTTATTTTCACAATAATCTGTCACTGTGAATCTAATCCTTCATCTCTCTCTCTCTCTCTCTCTCTCTCTCTCTACACCCACTACTCTTTCCCCTTATCTCACCACCTGCTCCCCACCTTACCTCCTCCTGACCCCTACCTCCTCCCTGGACCCTTACCTCCCTCCCCACCCTTACCCTCCTCCCTCCCCCTTTCCTCCTCCCTCCCCCTTATCTCACCACCTGCCCGACCTCTTGTTCCGCCTATACTGTACTTAACCCTTATCGATGTGTCAAGTAGGAGAGCGTGATACACACACACACACACACACACACACACACACGCACACACACACACAACAACAACAACAACAACAAAAACAGCTTGCATATCTTGTTTTGATTTGCCACTATAAATTAAATTATCTAAGAGTATTGTCTGAGTGTAATGTTATGTGTGTATGTGTATATGTGAGTGTGTGTATATGTGAGTGTGTATATGTACGTCGATATACGCTTATACACACACCTTTAGAAATACTATATACACACCTACATAAGTAAAACCATTAAGAAATTACTTTTCACACGATACTTTAGTACTTTTCATACTATTATAGGCACTTTTTTTATATATTTTTAAGTAATCTACACATATATACAGCTTCTTTACACTCTCATACGCCCCTACGCCATACGCACCCCGACACCTCTACACTCACCTACAGAACCTCTACATATACTCACAAATACTCAAAAATTTCTACATAAGCTCACAAGCTTCTACACACACCAACAACTTTTACACACGACAACAGCCTCTCTCCACGTCTACTCATTTACATATTTTCGTCAAAATTCCGTTCAGCCACGTCAAGTACTGGATATTTTTAGCATACATTTGTTTAGTGATTATATTTGTGTGTTTGTTTGTCTATGTGTAATTCTGTTTATTCCATTCATTTTCTTATCTATCTGTCTCTATCCATTCATTCCCTATTTTTTTCAGTCCCTCTATCCATTTATTTCTCTATCTTTCTGTCTATATATCTATTCATCAACCTATCTCTCTATCTCTCTATCTCTCTATTATAAATTTATTCGATCTCATCTTTACTCAAAAAAAGAAGAAAAAAATCATCTTATTCTTTTTAATATTTATCATAATCAGAAAAAAATTATAATGGTGTGTTGATCATCTGCCTATACCAGCCTCCTCTTCTGTAATAGTATAGCTCAAATTACACCCCCCCTATGTGACTGACTTTTAAGGCATTACTACACTAATGTATCAGGTTAAGGCGCAGAGTTAATTATCCACTGACACCTGAGTTAATAACCTCTTTGGAAACTAGGTCACTCTGTGGTGTTAAATATAGGTCACGTTTGGTGATTTACCTGAAGATTAGCCCAAAGCTTATTTCTAACCTAACCTAACCTAACCTAACCTAACCTAACCTAACCTAACCCCACCAGGTAACGATAGGGTGTAATTAGGTTAAATAAGGTTAGGGAGAAACAGATTTGTGTGGGTGGTAAATCTGAGCTTCTAGAATGGGCGGCTAGAACGAGTGGTGGGCGGCGGGTGAGTGGGCGGCGGGTGGGTGAGTGTCGCCAGCCAGCCTCATCTGTTGCTATGGTGATTCGGGCATCTTATTTCTTCCTTAGGATAAATGTAGCAAGATTTTCCTCACGATTCTCTAAGACTCTCTCTCGAAGATTGTTGAACAAAAAGCCACATAGATTGTTAGTCTAGTTAAGAAAAAGGTAAGAATATATGTTAATTGTTCTTCTGTTATCCATACCATGAAGAACATTGGTTTGTTCTTCTGTTATCTATACCATGAAAGGATCCTTAAACGCACGAATTCTGACCATGATGTGAGGTAAGCAAGGAGAAGGGCAGGTAACCAGGTAACTTGTCTTAATGACTCATTCAGAGAGAGAGAGAGAGAGAGAGAGAGAAGCAGTAATGTTTCAATTCGTGATTCCCCCATGAGACACACACACACACACACACACACACACACACACACACACACACACACACACACACACACACACACACACACACACACACACACAAGAAGCTGAAGCAGGGACTCTCACGTTATGCATGGGAGAACGTCTAGCTAAGGGTATTGTTATGTGTATCTAATTACGGGTTGCGTGCCGGTCATCTCCAGTATCTACCGGACAAATTATCGTAATGGTTATATTAGCAGTGGAGGGAGCCGGCATGCATAGTCTACTCTCTCCCTCTCACCCCCTCCCTCTCCCCCCCTCCCTCTCCCCCTTTACCTCCCTCATCCTCCCCACCTGAGGGAGTAAAGACGTAGGTAGTGGGTCGAGGATATTGAAGGTTTCTCCCGCTATGTAAAGATCCAGGGAGGGAGAGAATGTGCACAATGCTATGGTGTTACTACCTCCCGTCACGACACACTACAGCAGGGGTCGTGGCAGGTTTCGGATATCAAGTTTACGTTAATATAATGTAGTGGTACAGTTCTTTTGAGGGGGGGGGTATGTCGTCTAGTTTTGTAATTTAAAGATAGTTTTATTTATTTTTTTTTTTTGGGGGGGGGTGGGGATTATTTGAAAGGTTTGTATATGATTTAATTATTTACACATGTATTCTTATAATACGTACACAGATATGCTCAGCACGCACACACACACACACACATACACATACCCCTGTGGGATCAATCAGCTACCTGGGGACGGTAAAGTAGGTGACGATATAGACTACCTGACCCACAAGTGACCGCCTGTCTCCACACCTCTACACACCTCACCTCCTACCTGGAAGACGCCAAACTTATTCCTGTAGTGAAGATTATGTATTACCTTCCTTGTATTGTGAGTAGTATGATTTATGTATGTATGTATGTATGTATGTATGTATGTATATATGTATGTATGTATCGTTGAAAGAGAGAAGCATTGAGTGAAAGCAGCTTAGAAATATATTAATAGACGCACATACTTGAAAATAATAAACCAATGTATATATAAACCAAAGACAGAGAGACAGAAAGAGAGACAGAGAGACAAACAGACAGTCAAATCATAGACCCCAAAAAAACAGAAAATCACCTGACAGAGAATATTTTCGTTGACCATTTGAATATTTTTTTTTTGCATAAGTAATAATGTAAACAGACTTCCTAAGCTTCACTAACTCCAGGTAGATGACACACACCTGGATGAGAATTACACCCCTGGAGTGACAAGTTACTACCTGGTGATTAGAGTTGGGGGTCCTAAACCTTGTCCTCCAGAGGGTAAAAAAAAAAACAATTTGGGGGAAGATTGACCAAATGACCCCCTCAAGTTAACAGGATTAGTAAATCACAAGTTATCGGTAATTATTGGGTCATGGTTGTTTAGTTGATGTGTTTAACTGCTCTAATTGGTGGTTTTAACGGCGAGTAGTTAAATAGACGCTAGTTTGAGATCCCAATAATGGTTGGTTTGGTAGGAGTTATTAGAGGGCATGGGTTGCTATAATTAGTTGTTTTAGAAGGAGGTAGGGTATTAGTCAGATGTGGGTCGGACCTGCTGAGGAAAAACACTCGTAATTAGGGTTCTTAAGCCAGGTAGCTCGCTCTTATACCTGAGGTCTTTAGTCCTAGTTAACTCGCCTTGTACAACTAGTGGTGGGGATGGTGGCTGATGGTGGGGATGGTGGTCAGTGTTGGGGGTAGTGGTGGTGATAGTGGTCACTGTTGTGGATGGTGTTGGCAAGTGCTGTACCTAGCCAGTAATTGTGTTGGTATGGTGGTCAGAGGTGTAAGTCCAGTATTTATTATCCTCTGTCGTGGAATTTCAATTTAGACATTATCATCCTTACATGGTGCCGCTGAGAGAGAGAGAGAGAGAGAGAGAGAGAGAGAGAGAGAGAGAGAGAGAGAGAGAGACTGGAGAGCAAACAGTCACACTTCACCATCTCTCCTCGTTACCCTTTTGCCAGGCAGCTCCTAGGTCAATAGCCTTAAACAATCTAACATAAACAATTAAAAATGTACACGAATAAACCCCCGTATCTTACATTAAATCCTGAAAAAATACGAATTAAAACTTCATTACACGAAATATTGCCCGAAATAATACCCTCTCCCCTCCTCGTCACCTCCCCCCCCCCCTTCCTCCGTCACCAACCCCTTTCCTCCGCCACCTCCCCCTCCTTCCACCCCTCCCCCTCAATGGCAGGAGACGATCCACTGGGTACACAGGATCGAAACTCACCTACATACTTTCTCCCTTGGGCCACCACTTGCTCTTATTCCTTCCTCCCCTCCCCCCTTCCCTCTCCCTCTCCCTCTCCCTTCTCTTGTTTGGACTCCATTCCCCCCTCCCTAAAAATTAGAATGAATAAATCAGGAGGTCGTATAGATTTAAGTTGGTGGGGGAGAGAGAGAGAGAGAGCAGGAGGTGTTATTACGAGGTCTTGGAACACAACATTGTCCTAGTTATTTTGTGTATTATTCGCTTCTTCACTTCTTCTTGTTCTTCTTCTTTCTCTTCTAGCATCACTCCTCTTATTATTCTTTTCATTATTCTCCATCTTCTCTCGTTCCTGGTGAATTAATTTTTTTTACGCTTCCTTGTCTTTCTCCTCTTCCTCTTTCTTCTGTTCTCCGTTCATTCCTTGTCTTCCTCCTCTTCCTCTTTTCCTCCACCTCCTCCTCTACCTGTACTCAGAAACACCTGTTACATACAACACAACCAAGAATTATATCAACACTCACGGTAGGTGGTAACATTTGTAGGTGAACTTCAGTAGATGAAAATGACCCCGAGCCATCATCATTAACCATCTTTATCTGTTGACAAAAAAAAAATAATAGTTAAATAAGAAAAGAAAAGAAAAATAATTATACATCAGGTTGTCTCAAAAAAATGTATCCACACTATTTATCCGGTTTTCTTGATGAGTGTGAATATTTGAGTTATAAAATCAATATTATCTTTATTATTGATGTTTATTGTCTCCCCCCAAACATTGTAGGAGACGTCGTGAATTAATAATGAGGACAATATTGATGTTTTATTATAAACATTTAAGACATCACCACAAAAAAATGTTTATGGATGTGTGTGTATACATTTTTTTTTCGAGACAACCTGGACAGTCTATAAACGAAGGGTTTAAGGGATATAATACAACATAATAAAGGATTTGAACGTTTCTTTAGGGAGTTTTTGGGGAACTGAATCCTTTTTACTCATCGGGTACGGAACATTTATTGTGATTTTTTGTAGATAAGGGATTGATGTGATTGAGGGGAATGGTGACTTATTTTGCATTAATTTTTTCTTCGTGTGAATTTGAGATAAGAGATGTTTTTTATATATATATATGCTAAGTTATTTAAGTGTAAAGATAGGGAGAAAAATTGTTACATTAAGAAATATATAACAGTTATTACACACACACACACCAACACACACACACACCAACACACACACACACACACACAAAAGACACCAACACACACACACACACACACAAGACACCAGCACACACACACACACACACCCTACACACACAAACTAAACATAAATAACACAAAATAACACACACGTAAACACACACACGCGCACCTAAACAATCAGCACCAAACACAATCGTCATAATACTATCGGCTATCGCGTGTTTTTACACACTTGGTTGTCATAATTCCCGTTTATTGGATGCCGCCTTGTTCAGTTGCCGAGTTGTGAACGACAGACGTAACTTATCTGTTACCGTGGATCACTGGCTTGTATATTGTTGTATATTACGTGTATTTAACTTAGTATTGCTTGTATATTGTTGTATATTACGTGTATTTAACTTAGTATTGCCTGTATATTGTTGTATATTACGTGTATTTAACTTAGTATTGCCTGTATATTGTTGTATATTACGTGTATTTAACTTAGTATTGCCTGTATATTGTTGTATATTACGTGTATTTAACTTAGTATTGCCTGTATATTGTTGTATATTACGTGTATTTAACTTAGTATTGCCTGTATATTGATGTGTATTACGTGTATTTAACTTAGTATTGCTTGTATATTGTTGTGTATTACGTGTATTTAACTTAGTATTGCCTGTATATTGTTGTATATTACGTGTATTTAACTTAGTATTGCTTGTATATTGTTGTATATTACCTGTATTTAACTTAGTATTGCCTGTATATTGTTGTATATTACGTGTATTTAACTTAGTATGGCCTGTGAGGTGTATTACTAGTATCTAAATTAACATTCCCCGTCTACTAACGTGCAATACTTATCACACACTCTGTCCATCTCACCATCCCAGTTGCCACGACATAGACGCCTAGACTGATCCTACATCGCTTATCATGTGACAATGGAGTATTGGATCCTAGATTAACGTGTAGCAGAAGGATTAAACGCCTCAAAAGTAAAGAGGACATTATAATCTCTTTAACACGACTAAGTATAGTAGGATCCAATACCACCCATCGCTTCGGATATGAAGATCGCGGTATTAAATCCTACATTAGCGTGTTGTGTTTGTTCCTAAGGCCGAGTCAGCTTTCCACATTGTGTTGTTGATCCGCGAAAAGGATTAAACTCTCTCAGATGTAAAGGGAATTATCATCTGTTTTCGTCGAAGAGTTAGTCGGGTCAGATTTTATATTATCTCGCGAAATAGAGGAAACACGGGCTGCTGGACGCCACATAAGAAAGATCAGATGACACTAAGGCTTCGAAACCTGTCTGGAGGAAGATCTAACACTACTTGTACCTAATTGAGATGCATTTCTTCAGTAGTCACCTCCAGCAGATCTCAATACCACATAAGTACATTTCTGTTTATCTTTCCTGATGGATGTTCTCTATGTGTGTGTTTTTCTTGGTCACTATATCACTTTTTTTTTTCTTATATAAACTCTCGTCATTATTGTGTCTTATTGATGATTCTTTAGTTTATTTTTATCCCATATTCGTCTATTTCTTTTTCTTTTGGTGTGTGTGTGTGTGTGTGTGTGTGTGTGTGTGTGTGTGTGTGTGTGTGTGTGTGTGTGTGTGTGTGTGTGTGTGTGTGTGTGTGTGTGTATGTGTGTGTGTGTATGTGTGTGTGTGGACCGCTGTATCACAGAACCATTCTAAATAAATGTTGGAGCGTGTTCAGGGTTTTCTACTCTTCACACTGTGGTCGCTCGGTGTTTTTTATGATCCGAGGCAAAACGTGAGATGAGAGCTGGAGTAGATAATTACCTGGTTCAACTTAATCAAGGCGGTAGTGTAGTCGAAGCTGTCGCAGTTGTGGTGTTTGTGTGATGCTGAGGAATGACCTTTATCGTGAAGGTTAATTGGCGTAGATGATCTATAGTTCCGGTGAGGTGAAGAGAAGGTGAGGTTTGAAGTAAGAATGAGTTAGGTTCTACACGCCATGACAGAGACAAGACACCGAGATATTAATTGTAATGACGATAAAGAAAATATTCAGGAATTTTGATTCAATTCAGGAGCGTGGAAGATGTTGTGTGTGTTTTTTTAAATACTAGTGGAGGTGTGATGACGAAGGAGAAACTAAAATACATAATGCAATGAGCAACGAATTAGACGTAACATGAAAGTGTTACCAAAACCAAGGGTGGCGGTCTAGCTAGTGTGTGAGTAGCCTACGTAATGCAATACCTACCTACACACACACACACACACACACACACACACACATTAAGTAATATTTAAGTCTTTATCACATTGACAATATTCCCCTCAACACAAATTTACTATCATCATCGTCATCATCATCGTCATCATCATCATCATCATCGTCATCATCATCATCATCATCATCATCATCGTCATCATCATCATCATCATCATCATCATCATCATCATCATCATCATCATCAATACTTTCCCTAAACACAGACGTCAGTATCTAAAACTCTTCCTGCATCACGTCTCTGTATTTTACGTGTAGAGGAAGAGGTTGAACCATATACCCACACGTCATAACACAAACCTAATTAATGTGTCACGGTAAAGTATAAGTAAATCACGGTAAAACTACAAGTTATCAATCACGGTAAAACTACAAGTTATCAATCACGGTAAAAGTATAAGTAATCAATCACTGTAAAAGTATAAGTAATCAATCACGGTAAAAGTATAAGTAATCAATCACTGTAAAAGTATAAGTAATCAATCACGGTAAAAGTATAAGTAATCAATCACGGTAAAAGTATAAGTAATCAATCACGGTAAAAGTATAAGTAATCAATCACGGTAAAAGTATAAGTAATCAATCACGGTAAAAGTATAAGTAATCAATCACGGTAAAAGTATAAGTAATTCATAGGTGTTGTTTTTTTTTTCCCACAAAGTCACGATCATCATCAACCATTTGTGTTATGATGACTCTTCTTTTTTTTCTCTTGTAATTCTTTCTTTTATATAATAATTACATCAATAACTTAGATATGTCTTTATCATCGGGTGTCTTATCAAACATCTCTTTTTAACTTCCTTTTCAATTCATTTTTATTTGATTCGGTTAGGTTAGTTTTTTGTTAGGTTTGATTTGGTTAGGTAAGCTCTGGTTAAGATAGATTAGGTTAAACTTAGTCTTATTAGCTTAGGTTAGGTTAGGTTTGGTTAGGTTAGGTTAGGTTAGGTTAGGTTAGGTTAGGTTAGGTTAACATCAGTATAATTAATCACCATGTAAAATAAACCTCACTATAGCCACCTCAACAAAACAACAATAAAAAATTCCTATAAATATTTATCTTTTTCTAAATTCGTTCAGATTTTTATAAATTTAATACATCCATTATTGTAATTACTGATGTAGTTTTCGCTTACTCATTTCCACCCTGTTTATTACTGTTGTCCTTCCAAGCCTTCTCGTTTATCTTGGTTTTCCTTCCGTTCCTCTTTAATTTCAACTACAATCGGCGTCTTCTTTTAAAAAGGATTTATTTTTTGTTTTTTATTGTTTATCAGTCTAAGTTTATTGCAGTCTCTTGGTACCTGGTTCATGGTTACCCGTCTACAAACTGTCTAAAACACGTTTATAAGTCTACAACCTGCCTACAGTCTGTCTATATTGTCTACAACCTGTCTACACCTTTCTACATCTGTCTACACCTGTTTACAAATTATTATTAACTGTCTACAACCAGTTAAAACCCTTTTTATACCTGTTGTTCATAAGACAAGGTAAGTTTGCTCAGGTTATGTTAGGTTAGATTATAGCTTCAGTTAAGTTAAAGTAGATTAACTTAGGTTGGGTCAGGTTAGGTTATTTTAGGTCAGGTTAGGTTAGGTTATTTTAGGTCAGGTTAGGTTAGGTTAAATTAGTTAAGGTAAAGGTAAGGTTAGAGAAGGTAAAGTTAAGTTGGATTAGGTTAAATCAGGTAAGGTTAGATTAGTTTAAGCTACATTACCATCACTATATATACACCCGCATCAACACAGTCACCAAGGTTATTCAACTAAACGATCGGCTCACTCATAGTTTTATCAATCAAAACAAACACCAATCATCCCTTCACCTGTGTAATTTTCACCTGGGCTACCTTACTTTACCTGTCCTCTCTCTCCTTCACCACCACTCCTGCTTCACCATTGACACCCACCCATCACAATGTCCTTAGGCCTATTCATCTGGTTCATCATTTATTACCCCTTTATAGAATGCACCCTTCTTCTCTTGTAGTTCTTGTTGTTCTTCTTGTTTTTGTTGTTGTTGTTGTTGTCCTTGTTCTTGTTGTTGTTGTTTGTTTCTTTGTTTTTCTTTCTTTCTTCTTACTCTTCTCCCTCCTATTTTTCTCCCTCCTCCTCCTCT